ATTTTTTAATTGTATTATTAATTATTTTTCTTTATAGACAAGATCACAGACGGATTGAAAAGTCATCAGTGATATTTGGAGGGATTTAAAAAATTTTCATCAAATTAAAATTTTGAATTAAACATTACAGATAGAATCATCGATGGATTGAAAGGTCGTTAGTGACATTTAAAGGGTTTTTTTTTAAATTATTAAATTGAAAATGTGAATTAAAAATTACAAAAAAATCATCAATGGATTGAAAAGTTATCGGTGATTGTTTTAGGGTTTTTGAAAATTTTTGATTAAATTGAAGATTTAAATTAAACAACCCACACGTAAAGACACCAATTCCTAGAAATCCAAGTAAATTAGGTTTGATAGGAGTATGACACAAAGATAACTTGTATCTAGGAACCAACACTATTGGAAATGGAAGCCCCTCACCCAATGAATATTGATTCACAAACGAGAAGTATAAGGATGATACCATGAAATCAGTTGTTTTTTGATAAATTATTTTTTAAGGATGATGTCATGAAATCAATTGTTTTTTGATAAATTATTTTTTTGTTCTTTAGAGAACCAAGGAAATGAGAGTATCTGACCAACACACACAAAGTGTGGCAAATAAGAAGTTTTATTAATATGAATTATCTAACTTACATGTCTGGTTATGACTTTATTTGTACTGACTCCAAACTGAAACAAACTCTAATGGATCTTTTATGTGGATTTATATGATGTACACTTATAATTTAACCCAAATAATATAAATAAATTCTAAACTAAGAAGAAAATAAAAATAACAGGAATAAATATAAATTTAATAACTTAAATATAATGGGATCAGATTTATTACCCTCTTTAGTTTCCTATTTGTAAATTATTCTTAGCTGATATGGAAACTTATCTAATGATAAATTCCTATTATAATAATAATAGAATAATTGTTTCCATATATTATAAGGATTTTCAATTAATATGGAGTCTATACCAGACATGGAAACTGTGCTATTGTCCATTAAATATCCTTGTAAGATTAAAAAATTCTCAAATCCAGCTGCCATATTCTTGTAGTAAAATAATCCTAGCCAAATATGAAGTTTACAAGTCAAAAGAAAATAAATAATAAAATTCATATATCCTCTGTTGATCAGTATTGTGATACCTTTCTGAATTCTGATTAACTTGAAATTTTAACCCAAGGTATAACAACATGTTAGAAAACTACGTGTAAAATTGCAAACTGATCCAATGATCAGATTGAGAATTATAACTGTTGTCGTGAAATTGAATAGTTTTGTATTTTACATCAGAATCTGAATATGATTATTTTTTCATTGCTCGGATCGTATCATTCCCTCTCTCTTTAAGATGAATCATCCTTAAATCATTAACAAGCATAAAGTATAAAGTTTTAGCTTTTTTTTTTTCTAAAGCCTTTGGAGTTCCTTTCTTGCTAACAATCGTCGCTAACAACTTTGGATGAATGCATTAACCCTTCTCTTTCATCTATCATCATTGCAGCATTTTTGCTTTTTTTGTTTTAATCTTGCGGGGCATCGACTAATATGTTAACACATCAAGTTATTGCTGCATCTTCTCTAAAATACAAGATAGACTTTTGGTTTCTTTTTTTAGGACATTAATCTTTTTATTTCTCTTCTTTTGATACCACCTCTCTTTTTGAATCCTTCTTTTCTTTTTCCATAATTCCTTATCACAATACATGAAATCTTGATTGTAATACTCTTTTTGCATTTTTTTATATCAGAACCTATAACAAAAGCTAATGACAGTAAAGAAAGTAAGAAGACACTAAGGACTAAAAACTGACCTAAAATTACATAGATTTACAATTGATGAATGTAACAAACCCTTTTAGAGTTTAGACCCAAATCTAGACCTAAACCAAACAAATTCCAAATGGTTTGAAATTTGATATTTAAATCGAATTCACCCCAAAAACCCAGAATATCAAGTTTTATATTGTGTGATTTCACCCTACAAGAATATTAATTTTGACATAATTATAATATGGTGTTGATAAGTATGAGCAACAAAAGCGAAACAAACCCTTTGTCCTATATTACATTTTTTTTTATTTTTTATTCATTTAAAAAGAAATTTTGGATAGAAAGAATAATATGACACCTTATTTTTTTAATCTCAAAAGAATCAATTTAATGCAAGTAATCAAGAATAACGTAGGAAGAAGACAATATGACCGAAACTTAATTTGAAACAAGATCAAACCCAAAACAAAGATAACACAAAGAAAAATTGACATGGAAGATAAAAACAAAAATACAAGAAATGAAAGGATATAACCTGACTAATGAAGTTAAGCTTTAATACCAAATGATGCGAACCTCTTGAACATGCAGTCAAGTAACCCATATGCAAAGATAGCAATACCCGGAAAACCAAGTAAATCAGGTTTAATAGCAGTGTGATATAAATATAACTTATACCTAGGCACTAGTATTACTAAAAATAGCAACCCTACCTACTATATTGATTTACAAATAACAAGTATAAGGATGATGTCATGAAGTCTTCGTAAAATTTTAGACTGATCCAATGATCAGATTGAGAATTATAATTCTTACCATGAAATTGGACAGTTGTGTATTTTACATCAGAATCCAAATTTGATTGTTTTTTTGTTGTGTGAATCGTATCACTATAAATAGGGAAAGATAGTTTTTCTTTTATTTTTTCTTAAATTAAAACATTAACCATTACTTATTCATCCAATTAACCACTAATTTCTCATTAAATCAATAATCATCTCATCACAACAACACAATATTTTTCTAATTATATTAAAAGTTTTAAAATTTTCACAATCACAAAGACACAATAAAAACTTAGTTTGAAAGGGTATATTACCTTAAAAAAAAAGATGAAAATAAAATATCAGAGCTTGGATGACACCCACAAAATCACTTCCCTTTCTCCTTTTTTTCTTCTTTGAAATTGTATCCTTTAATAAGAAAAACTTGATTTTTCTTTTATTTTTCCTTCTTTAATCACTCCTAATCCTGCTTTAACCTCTTAATCTACCTCTTTTTTGTGATTTTATGGTGGATTTTTTCAAGTTTTCTCTCAAACTTTCCTCTCCTTTCTCTCTTCTCTCGGGATCGGCCAAAAGTGTTAAAAAATGAACACTATTCATGTATTTATAGGTCCCTTAACTTTATTGTTACCCTCCTATCCTTTAGTTATTTATTTGGATAAGTTTTCTTTTTACCCGGGTTTATTTCCACAGCCTACATGTGAACTTTACCGTTTCCAAATATTCTTATATCAAAAATATTATTTTTCTAATTTATTTCACATTATTACACACATGTATATTTTATTTTAATTTAACCCTATTTAATTTCCCATGTTAAATCTCCTATTGATGCCAAAATGCTACTAGGGTTTACACATATGGTTCCAAAAATATTTATAGCCCTTGAACTATTTTATTTTGTTAAAGGGGTGGAGAATCATTTCCTTTGAAAACATAGGTGAGAAGAAAACATCTCTTACACATTAATATTGATGGAAATAACCCTTACAATAATATTAATGTTGATGGAAATATGTTAGATTCATAGTAGATTTTAGCACCATTTGAGAACGCAGTGTCCTCAAAAAATCATTTTTTGGCTTTTTTTTTTTGTGTTTCAGCTCGTTTTGTTGCGCTGATTTTAAAAATAATTTTTTAAAAATAAAAAAATTATTTTGATGTATTTCAGCATGAAAAATATTTTGAAAAGAAACTGCAACCGCAACCGCAACCACACTCCTAAATAAGCCCAAAGTATATTGCAAGCATCATTAATGTTGATGTGAATAACCATTAATCAACATTAAAGATGATTGGAACAAGACAAACTTTTGGAAGACTTTTACATGCTTAGAAGTATAGAGAAATAACTATAATAAATTCTTGTTATTTATGTGCCTTGTGACTTTGGATGAGGCTTATAAAGACTTCTAATTGCGGGTATATTTAGACTTGGAATGATATTAAACTCAAAGTTGTTAGGTAGGATATTTTGCCAAACCTATAGACACTTAAGCTTAGCATGTGGATGAAATTAAAGATGTTGGGTCAGGTATCTTGTCAAATCTATATATACTTGGGCTTAACACATAGTTGAATCAAAAGTTGTTGGATTTGATGTTTTGTCAAGCCTGTAGATACTTAGACTTAACGTGTAATTAAGCTAAAAAATATTAGGTTTGATATCTTGCTAAACCTCAAGTATTTGAATTTAACGCGTAGCTAAATCTAAAGATGTTAGGTCTTGCGACTTGCTAGATCCACATACATTTAATATGAGCATGCAACTAAGCATAAGAAGGTTGGGTATGACATCTTGTCAGACCCATATATATATATATATGGATTCAAAACTTAAAAATATTAATTCTAATATCTTATTAGATTTATTAGATCCATGTACATTTATGTTTAACACATAATTAAATTCAATAAACGTTGGATTTGGAAGCAAATCATACTCATGTTATCAATAATTGGCATTGTATAAAGCTCACGTATGATGGGTTAGAATCCTGTTTTTAGCTCCTTTTCATGGCGTTCATTCTAAACAAATGAATAGTTAAAGGGTTGTTTTTTCTCCACCCAATACAATTGTGAGGGCTTCTTTCACTCTGCCTAGAGGTGGTTGTTTTACCATCCTTTCAACTTAAAAAATCTTCTTCCACTATATTGTGAGTGCATCCGTCCAAGTTGGCGGCTCACACTTGAAATGCATCTATCAAGTGAACGGCTGCTCTTATCATGGATCGTCAGCTGAACCATCAATTTTAGTTTCTGCAATAATCCCAAGTTAAATTTGTTTATTGATAAAATAGATCATAATAGACGAATATTAAAAATATTATTTTAATATATTTTTAATATAAAAAACATTTAAAAAATAATAAATCAAATTGTCAAACAATCCTGTGCTATTTCCCGTACGTAGGTGCTTACGTTAGAAATTATTCTTCGATGACCATATGGTCTAGTCCGCGCGCCCGCACTCACTTCCTCTATTTGTGGCGGTTTCGTTTCAACTGCTTCGCCATTGTCTCAATAAACAAAAGAGTTCTTAAGAACAAGAGAGATGGCAACAGTGAAAAGGATCAAGCTGGGTTCACAGGGTCTTGAAGTATCAGCACAGGGACTTGGATGCATGGGCATGTCTGCCTTCTACGGCCCTCCAAAGCCTGAATCGGACATGATCGCCCTCATCCACCATGCTGTCAACACCGGGGTCACTCTACTTGACACCTCCGATGTCTATGGACCCCACACCAACGAAATCCTTCTGGGCAAGGCCTTGAAGGCAGGAATATTACGAGAGAGAGTTGAATTAGCCACCAAATTTGGCGTCAACTTTAAGGACGGCAATGCGGAGGTTCGAGGGGATCCTGCTTATGTGAGAGCTGCTTGCGAGGCCAGCTTGAAACGCCTTCAACTTGACTGTATTGATCTTTATTACCAACATCGCATTGATACCAGCGTTCCTATTGAAGCTACGGTATTTCTGTTTAATAGTTTTTATTTCTAAATATTGTTCTGATTAATCTTGATTGTTCGATGGCCATGATCATATTTAGAGAATTTGGCTTTTACTTGATACGTTTTCCAGAATCTGTAACAGGCATATCCAAAAATCCAAAAAATTCAGCATAAGCCCACTAAGATTATAGATTAGACATGGTACTGATGATACCGTCATGTTTAATATGTGAATTGACATCTTGCAGTGGTCTCTTTCGTAGTTGGATGCCGACATTGCTACTAGTGCTATTAGTGGGTACTGTCTCTGCATTCTAGCTGAAAAATGTCTTGCAGTTGTGCACTCATAATTCTTTTCTTGGCTAGATGGGGGAACTCAAGAAACTAGTTGAAGAAGGTAAAATAAAGTACATAGGTCTGTCTGAGGCCTCTGCTTCAACAATCAGAAGAGCTCACGCTGTTCATCCGATAACAGCCGTGCAATTGGAGTGGTCACTGTGGTCAAGAGCTGTGGAGGAAGAGATTGTTCCTACCTGCAGGTGAGGCATTGATGAGAAAAACTAATTTCCTTTGAAGATCAAAATAACCGAAACTTTAGGCTGTTTATGGGATGCCTTAGATATCCAGATTGTGATCTTATCATTCTAATGGTTCAGAGAACTTGGCATTGGGATTGTTGTGTACAGTCCTCTAGGACGGGGATTCTTTTCCACTGGGCCTAAGTTGGTTGAGAGCTTCTCTGAGGGTGATTACAGAAAGGCAGGTTCTCTTCTTTTTTAATATAGAGTTTGTGATCAATATAAGACATGCCCAGAACACAAGCATAATCTTTTACGGTTTGTAAAGGATGCCACAAATCACATCTCCTTCTTCACGAGTGACGCGTACTAGAGAATAATATAGTATTAGAGAATAATATAAAACTATTATTGAAACCTATCTAAGCCTTGAAAAATAGTCTCTTCTATCTTACAGAGTGGTTTGGTGGTTTAAACTCCATAGAAGGAACTTGTACAAAGTAAAAGTTTAGCTTTGAGATCATTATATTTTACCTAGCAGTTCTTTCACATTTGCATTATTCCTAAAAATATGCTATACATTTGGACTGCTTAAAGATTCAATAAAATAAAACACAGATTTACAGGATCTCCTTGTATTAGACATTTGGCTTTATTTGTCCCATGTCCAACCAAAAAATTCTGTTTTGCTTATATCTTTTGATTACTCCGTTATGCACTAAAAGAGGACAAGCAAGAGGAACACAAACTCATGGATAGCTGACATCCTTTCTCTGATAGTCAATCTTCAGTATTTTTGGCTTCCTAAAATCTGCTCACTCGCCTTGTAGCTTGGAAATTTGGCATGTTTGTACCCATAAAACCTGCGTAGTATACAATATGATGATAATTAGCATTTTGTGCTGGAAATATTTTGCTATGGCAAAGTTGGTCCTAATTTCAAACATTGAGCAAGGAGGACATGTTACAAGTACCTGTGGAATAATGCTATGCTTAAACCTCCCATCTATGATGCTTTCTTGTTGATGAGTTGTTTTTTCAATTGTTTCAGGACATGTCTAGGTTTCGACCTGAAAATCTGGACCATAATAGACATTTATTTGAGCGGGTTAATGAAATCGCAGCAAGGAAACAATGCACTCCATCGCAGCTGGCTTTGGCCTGGTTACACCATAGAAATACCGTAGCTTCAATAGGAACGCTGGTATCAATGCGATGTTGGTAATAAAGATCAATACAGTCAAGTTGAAGGGTGATGATGTATGTCCTATTCCTGGAACCACCAAGATCGAAAACTTCAACCAGAATGTTGGAGCTCTGTCTGTAAGACTAACACTAGAAGAAATGGCTGAACTCGAATCAATCGCTTCTTCAAATGCTGTAAGGGGAGATAGGTCTGACGATGGCTTCTCTACGTTCAAGGATTCAGATACTCCACCTCTTTCATCATGAAAAGCTGTATAGAAGGCATGCTGCCATGCCATGTTGTCTTGCTGCTAGCTACTCTTGGATTTCAGCTGCCTTTGAAGTTTTTGAAAATTGTATGTACCCTCTCTGAACTTCTGAAGAGAATAAATGGTCCTGTAATCTAATATTATAGTATATTATGTATTAAAGACTTGTGAATAAATGGTCCTGTAATCTAATATTTTCTTCTCCCTTTGTTGTCGTGAATCCTCAGTCATTTTCTTCTCCCTCTCCTTTGAAATCTTCTCCTGCTGCTACGGCCTTGCAACCTTTTCCTGCTACTGCTATCATGAATCTTGCCACCATGGAGTCTTCAATTGCAAGCATTATTTTCCTCTCACTATCAGAAAATTAACAAATACAAAAAATAATACCGATATCATGTTTTCATTTGTAAATTACCATGAATTCTACTAAAAAAAAAATTCCCTCATTGTATCCATTGATAAACATCAGTGAAAATATTTTTTTGATATATATTAAGAAAATTATAGTGGAAAAAAAAAGAATTAAAAAAAACTATAAAATACGATGACATATCATTTATACAGATAAAAATACCAACAATATTAATATCGTTGGTAAAATTTGTTTGTAAACTTGTCAGTAAAATGTTCTTGAGAGCTCGAAACTGTTCCTTTTTCCCGATACTATTCATTGAGTTAATTACATATGAAATTAAAATGTTCTTGAGAACTTGAAACTGTTTCTTTTTCCCGATACTATTCATTGAGTTAATTACATATGAAATGTTCCTTTTTTCCGATACTATTCATTGAGTTAATTACATATGAAATTATCGACTCGACAAATTAATTCCATCAATATTTTTTAGAGAACTCTAGAACTATTTACTTCTCAATTACATTGTTAATCGTTGTTCTTTACAAATATAATCACAAACAAATTGAAAAGTTATTGGTGATATTTGAGGTGAAAGGGTTCTAAAAAAATTTGATCAAATTGAAATTTTAAATTAAACATTACATATAGAATCACCAATGGATTAAAAAGTCATCTGTAATATTTAAGAGATTTCTAAATTATTTTATTAAAATAAAAATTTAAATTAAATATTACAAATAAAATCATCTAGGAATAATTAAAAATATTAATATTTAATTATTAGTTAGTAAAATTATAGGTAAAATACTCCAATAAAAAGACTAAAATCTCTCATTTCATAATAGACACACCTCTTATTCATCTTCATCTTCTCTCTTTTTTCATATGAGATCAATTTTATTGGATTTTAGTTGAATTTTATTTTCAAATATATTGTTGAATTTCAATTAAATTAATTTATTTGTTATTGGATTATGGGTTTTGAAATAGGTTTTCTAGGTTAGGTGGAATTTTTTTTAGTTGATTTATTTATTTATGTTATTTATTTGTTGCAAATTTGTTTAGTTGATTTTCTTCTCTCTTTTTTCCAAGCAACTTAGTTCTGAGTATTATGGAGTGTTGATTTATATTATTTTATATTATTTTAATTATTTTTCACTTTTATTAAATAGATTTTTTAAAATATTTTTAAATAATTATTAACAGTATTACCAATGAATTAAGTCCATTAGTATATTTTAGAGAGTTAAAAAAGAATTATTGCACATGTTATTATGCCACTATTTAATCATCGATGGAATTACATACAATATTTTTGTAGGTTATAAGGCAAAATTTCTAAAGGAAATACCAAACAAATGAGACAGGTAATTTTTTTCGGTATGTTTTTTTTGTCAGTAAATCCATCAATAATTTTATTACCAACAGACTCACCGACAAACAAAAAATTACCAATGAGAATTTTAAGGATGGAGCATTTCTATCGGTGAGCCCGTCGGTAAATTTATTGTCAATGAAAGGATAATATAAATAACGACGGAAAATTTCATCGGTTTTTCTAAGTATTCTGGTAGTGTCTCTAATACTCATCAAGTTATTTCTTTTAAGCTAACAAATATAAATTATTTTTATTAGCAAATGCAGATGAAGCCATATCTTATTGAATAAAGTGTTGATGGCTTTTTACTGTGTTCTCCTCCTTATGTGGTTGTTATTGATGGTTCTTCTTTTTAGATTAATAATTTTTTTTCTTTGTTGGAAACAACATTACCAATTTATTATCGGTACACTACTTCTCTTTCAATAGATGTACCATATCTTGTTATCGAGTTCCAAACCTCACACTGTGTTTGGTATACTTTTAAGTAAGCCCTTGCTTCTTCATTTAATTTTTGCATTATGCAACTTTATGGTTCTTTTCAAAATCTTCATCGAGGTGATGATTTAGTCACTGTATTTATGCAAAAAGCAAAGGCATGTTTGATGAATTAATCATTGCTTGTCGGATAATTTCGTTAGAGGATTTCAATTTGTATGTGTTTTGTTGTCTTTAGGGTGAGTTCAAGCACATGGTAACAAGCCTTGTAACTATTACAAAACCTCTTTTGTATGTTGATCTTTATAGTTATCTTTTCACTAATGAGTTCCTTCATAAGACCTCTCTTCACTCTATAGATGTTGTTGTAACTACTCCTTTATTGCCTATACCAGTTCAACCACTATTAGCTCATGTTGCTCAATGTCAGCCCTTTGGTTTGTAAAACAACAATTATAATTTTAGTTATGGAAGAGGGTGATCTCATGGAGGTAGTATAAAAATTATAACAACAATCATAATAACATTAATGCCAAGTTTAATTTTTAAAGTTTCCATGGATCTTCAAACAACAACTGGAGGCAGGGTAATTGATAACAAAACCAATGAAATAATGGCTCTTCATAGTGGTTTAATATCAGGTGCCAGCGATGTCAAACCTTCGATCATTCTGCCCCTTATTGTTCTTAACTTCAAAGCCATGGACAATAGTTTAATGCTAATCTTGCGCTAAAAAATGTTGCCTCAACAAATTGTGTGGATTGGTTTCTTAATACTAATGTAAATCAACACATCACACCTAATCTTACAAATCTGACGAGGTCCGAGCCATATCTCGGTAATGATCACTTGTATGTTACTGATGGTAAGGGCCTTTCCATATCTAATATTAGACATACTAAGTTATATACACCAAGATATACCTTTACTTTATCTAATATTCTTCATGTACCATATATTCAAAAACTATTGCTTTCTGTTAAAAAATGTTATCTTGATAATAACGTTTATTTTTAATTTCACCAGTTTTATATTAAGGATCTCTACGCCAAGGAATTGCTTTTTTCTAGTTAGAATAAACATGGTCTCTATGTTTTTTTCAAGTCTTCTACATTGTCAATTCCTCAAGTTTATTAGTCTCTTTGCGTATCTGCTTCTGTTGATCTATGGCATCGTTGACTATGTCATCCTACTTTCTATATTTTCAATTTTTAAGCATCAAAATATAAAATTTCTTGTATCTCTAAACATTTTCAATTTCGGTGTCAAGGTTGTCTATGAGAAAAGTCGTCATGTCTGTCATTGAGACCTACAAGCCATAAAACTTCTGCTCCACTTGACTTAATATTTAGTGATGTTTGGGGCTTTGCTCCTTTTTTTTCTTCTAATGATTTTTGTTATTTTTGTTAATGTGCATACAAAATATGTATGGTATTATTCTTTTGTTGTGAAATCTAATGTCTTTTATGTTTTTCATTAATTTCAAACTTTGGTTGAGCGCCAATTTTTTCTCAAAATTAAATTTGTTGAGACTGATTGGGGTGATGAATACTACAAGTTACATACTTTTTTTCAAACAATTGGTATTCATCATCATTTAATTTGACCTCATACTCATTAATAAAATGACATAGTTGAACATCATCATATGTATATTTTAAAAACAAGTTTTACTTTTCTTGGACATTGTAAAACACTACTAAGGTTTTGGAAATGCACTTTTAAAACTTTGGTTTATCTTATCAATCACATATCTATTTTTGTCCTCAATAATAAGTCCCCCTTCGATTGTCTTTTTCAACATTCTCCTAATTATGATTTTTATGTACTTTAAGGTGTACTTGTTTTCCATTTATGTGTCCATATCATAATCATAAATTAGATTTTCGTTCCTCTTCATATGTGTTTTTAGGTTATAGCTTTGTTTATTTTGGTTATTATTGTCTTAATCTCGCATCTTAATGAATTTATATTTTTTGTCATGTCTATTTTCATAAGCATATGTTTTCTTCTGATAAATCTGAACAAATTACACAACTATACCATATTCCCTCTCCTAACAATTGTACCAATTTACCTAATTTCCTTACCTTACCAATTTTTCATAATCCTACATTTGTGACTTCTCAGCCTCTTGTTTTTACCACCTCATAACAGCCCCTGAATCTTACTATTACGTCATCATATGTATGTTTCTCTAATAATCATACTACGAGTACATGTTTAACCCCTTTTGAATTGCCACTTGACATGTCTGAGGCTATTGTTCTTCCAGGTCTCCCATTGCTAGCTGAAAATGATGCCTTTATTGCAAGCTCTACCTTTTGGTCTCTACTACTGGATTAAATTTGGTTGTTGACCTCTCTTTTTATCCATTGCATGATCATTTGAGATCAACTCTCATTGCCTCATTGTCTATAGTTTTTTGACATTATATGGTTCTTCATCTAGGACTACTAAAAAACAAATTTAACAGCTTCTTTACCCTCCTTTAACAGTCATAAATCTCAAAATTTTCTAATTGTGCTTATGAACCACTTACTTTTTATGATGCTAACAGGTATGAGGCTTGATGAGATGCTATGAAGGTTGGAATTCAGGCATTGTGTCCCATTGACACTTGTCCTTGGTTCCATTTCATCATTCAATGAATGTTAATGGTTATCGTTACGTGTACAAGATCAAGCACCATGCCGATAACAACATTGAACGATATAAGTCTCGGTTGATTGTTAGAGGTTTTAGTCAGCAGAAAGGTATTGATTACTTTGAAACTTTTAGTCTTATTGTTAAATAAGCTACTGTTTGGTAATTCTCATAGTCTTGGTGTTGCGTGATTGGAAAATTAATCAATTTGATATGCATAATGTCTTTCTTAATAGGACACTAGATGAAGAGGTCTACATTAATGATATTTTTTTAATTAGAAGCAATTTAATCTTGCTTCACCAATTGATTCAACTACTAACTTTAAAGTTTAAGCTTTAAGATTTAAAAGTTGTTCATTATTTTTTAGGC